GGTTTAGACCTCAGGACCAGTTTTAACGACCTGTGATCCCTATGGAGACCCAGATGTACAGGAGACTCTGGTACCAGACCGGTCCTGGGTTCAGTCTTAACAGAACCTGAGGGCTGCATCTTCACAACGGAAACAACAGAAGGAGATATGGAGGTCTTAGTGCAGAAAAAAACATTGATGCTGAAGGAAGAATTGCTGTTCTCCTGGAAAAAAAGGAAGTTTAAAATGTCCAGCAAATTATATTGGGTGCCAGTTAAAATTTAAGAGCAGGAACGTAAAAAACACTAATAAATGCTGGGGATGCAAACATAGGCCTTGAGATGTTTTCCTTATGTTTCATCTCTGCCCGTCTGACTTAGTACTGGCATAATGTGATGGGAATGATCAACGGCATTTTAAATTCCATTTTATCCTTAGAGAATAATTCCAAAATAGGAATAAAAAAACAGAGTGGCTTAAAATTTAAATAATTTCAAAGATAGTCATACTTAGACAGTAGAAAGCACAATACAACAACCCTACCTACAGGGAATGGTATAATAATCCATCTGATATTAGATTAAATTAGATTAGATGAGCTTTATTGATCTCACAGCGGAGAAATTCACTCGTCACATATTGGCATAGTAATTAAAGACGAAGGTGCAAACAAGGAGGAAAAAGGTGCATTAAGAAGAATAAACAATACATATATATATATATAGTATATCAATATAAATAAGAATTAAGGTGCAAGTGTACATGTATTGCACACAATGAAAAACAAAATGAAAATAAGAAAATAAAAAAATACAAGGTAGTAGCACAGAGGTTTGAGGTGACATATGTACAATCCGGGTGGCTTATATACAGGTGGATTTACCTTAACGTGATATGAACAAATGGACAATCATAGAGGTTTAAAAGTGTATGAGAGCCACTCTTAACTCAGATAGAAAGTTGAATCTAAATTCTCCATATTTATGTAGATGTAGAGAGCCCCATAGCATGTTTTTGTTGTTTTGATCGGATAGGGATGGAGGGATGCTAGGAAAAGCAATAAAAATCCTTCAGTATATGTCCTTTTTCAAATTGTAAACTGTTATATTTCTTGTCTTTTTGAATTACTCTGTTCACTATTTGTTATTGTATTTTTTTTTTTTTGAGTTTTTCTGACACTAGGCCGACAGGAAAGGGAGTATAAAAGAAGGGGAGGGATATACGGCAAAGGGCCACAGGTCGGGTTCAAACCTGGGTCAGCCGCATCATGGACCAAGGCCTCCGTACATGGGTCATGCACACTAACCACTGCGCCACCTACATGCCCACCATTTGTCATTTCGAAGGATTTTATACACATCCAGTAAAACAGAATGATGCCAGAAGATAAGAATAGAATTCAACTTTATTGTCATTACACCACTGTAATAATAATAATAAAAATAAAGAAGCTAATTAAAAGAGTTATATACATTTATGTCTCACTGTATAATTAAATTTCTACTTACATTTATTCGTTGATTGTATTTTATTTATTTCATTATGTATTTTTAAATACGGCAGAGGTAGTACCCCTTATGAACGAGCCTGTTTTTGTTTCTCAGAGTTCATTAAAGGAGTTTCTCAGTTCAGCATCAGAGGAGACAAACTGCAGAAGCTCCACTGTGAGTCCAGATGTTCCTTCATCTGTCTTTGAGTCGTACCGACCAGACTTCGTCTCTCTGAACCTGCTGTGTTTCTGTCCCTGAGCTCAGTCGCCTTCAGGGTTTATGACATGGACAAAGACGGATTCATTTCCAATGGAGAGCTCTTCCAGGTGCTGAAGATGATGGTGGGCAAAAACCTGCAGGACACGGAGCTGCAGCAGGTTGTTGACAAGACTATCATCCGCGCTGACAAAGACGGAGACGGCAGGGTGTCCTTTGAGGAGTTCTGCGCAGTGAGTGTTCAGAGGTTCCCATCCAGGTTCTCTCACTCAGGTTGAAGTGTGGCAGAAACTAACAGAATACCTGTAATGTACCTGAATTCTGTCCTCTGACCTCACTTCCTGTTTCTTCTGTAGATGGTTGGTGGGTTGGACTTCCACAGGAAGATGGTGGTGGATGTCTGACAGCAGCTGCTTGTGTCTTCATCACTTCTCTCTGAGCTCTCCGATTGGACGGGAACCACAAACAATCACTTCAAGCACCAGAACTCTGAGGGAACCTGGTGTTCCTGCTTTCCATGAGCTGAGCTCAGATCCAGCGGCGGACAGGTGCTTCAGAGGGAAGTGTTGGTATCTGGACCTGATCTACTGATTATGTTTTGTAGAATAGAAGAAGCCTAATTTCTGAAGGCGGATGGCTGGAGATGAGCGGACAACAGATGAAACGGTGCTCAGGAGATCATTGACCTAAGACAGAAATGTTATCACATACATGACGAACGATTCAACCACTCACGTCTGGACATTAATAAAAAAAAAAAAAACATTGCTGAATATTATGATTCTTTAATATCATTACTTAGATAAATGTATCCGGTGAGTTTCAGTTTTTTTAGGGTGGATCTGATCAGTGTTATGTGGATTTTCTTATTGTCCTTATTGTGTCTGCAAGCGGTTTGGTCAGACCATAAAGAGGGCTCAAGAACCAATAAGGATTATTATTCTTATTCTCCTCTATTAGTTTGGAGAAATATGCTGCTCTTGCTTTACAAAGGGTTATACAGCAATCTTATATTCTCCAAGCATTTTACTTTTAAGTGCGTAGCTCTGCATTAAACCAAGGAGCCAGCTTTCTATTTTTGAAGTATTTCTTTTTTGGAGGGGCTGTGCTGTCTAAGGCGGTACGCAAAGAACTAGCAACCCCATCAACAAAACCATCAATTTGTGAAAAGAAATACATTAAATGGTTGCCCTCTACAGTACTGCTCAGTGATGCAGGAGATAGAAATTCGAACGTATTTTTTAAAATTTATAACTGCACTATCTGATAATCGGCTAAAGTGAAACCTTCTTTTGGGGGGGGATCTGTTAAAGTAATCCTGAAGGTTATTAAAAAGTGGTCAGAGAGGACAGGGTTGTGAGGAAATACTGTTATTTCTGCTCATTTATTGCCATATGTCAGCACAAGGTCAAAAGTATGAAGATGATAATGTGTGGGACTATTCACATTTTGAACAAAGCCAATAGCGTCTAAGATAGCATTAAAGGCTGCTCTTAAGCTATCACCTTCAATGTCAGCATGGATGTTAAAATCCCCCACTATGATGACCCTGACAGTATTCAAATCAGATAGGAAATATGAAAATTTCCAAAAATTCTGAGAAAAAATTTAGACCTGATGGACGATACAAAGTTACAAAAACAAGAGGTTTTCTGGCTTTGCAATTAGGATGAGGGAAACTAAGGGTTAAATGTTCAAAAGAGTTGTAATTATTAACTGCCTTTGGAGTAATCAATAAGTCAGACTGAAAGATTGCTGCTACTCCTCCCTCCTTACCCAGAATTTCTGGGTATGTGAAAATTTAAATAACTAAAAGGAGTTGCCTCATTTATGCTCACATAATCCTCATTAACCAACAGACTTTTTGAAGAAAGAGATCTTATTTTAAATAAACCACATTTAATTGTTTTAATAGTTTAGAGTTTCAGGTATTCTATTTTTAGATTATCATTACTTATTTCTTTAGGATTCTTTTCTAATTTATTAGATTTTGGTCATGGGCAAGACACTGGATGGAGTAATGAGTGGGCAACAGTAGAGAAGGTGCAGAGACGTGTGTTAAACTACTACTGCTTCCTGGTCTGCACCCTGGGGTGTCAGGGGTTTGGAGGACTAATTAATTTTGCAAGATTCCTAGAAAAGACATGTTTGCTTAAAACATTATTGGAAATTTATTCACTTCATATCTCCCTGTCATAATTAATGTTATTCTATCAGTTGAATATGTCTAAAAATCCAGTAGGACATTCTGTCACTACCAGATCCATACCATTGGATCATTTGTTGTTGTATTTGTAATGAAGTTGGTCTATTTCACATGACGACAAGGAACACTTTTTGTTGCATCACAAGAGTCAACTGTACATTACTAGTGGCATAAAAAGACAAAGAAGACAGGAAGTAGGAAGTATGATGGTAGGGCAGGTTAAATTGTGAACCAACTTATTCACTTTTATTTTTTTTTCCTTTTCTCCTTTAAGGGAGAAATTAGGGTTAATATAAATTAACCCTAATTAATTCTTATTTATCTTCTGGGTTGAAAGTAAAATTCTCAAAACAATCAGTCTTCCCATTAGCAATTTCTTAGTCAAGTTTTTTCTGACCCTGAATGTAAATAGAGAAATAAAAGTGAGAGCCACAGAGAATTAAATGAACAAAGCAGATGAATGAAAATCGATTCTACACAAATGAGAACCGACGGACAATAAATTCAACCTTTTGTCACTTTGAGGTCAGTAACCACTGGAGAAAATAACCTGCCTTTTATTGGCTACTTTCCAGGAAATCACACCTCTTGAAACTGTACCGTTTCTTCCACTAACAATGCATCCTTAGGCTAATTGTTGTTCTTTTAAACACCGTTTTCAATTTTGTGACTTTGCTGCTATATTTTGCAACTTTTCAGATTCCCCTAGCAACAGTTTTTTTTTAAACAATGATTCATCAACATAGGTTGGTTAAATTCCTTTTATTCAAAAGCAGATTCATGAAGGTGCAAATCATCAACATTAACTGGGCATGCTCAGTGAGGATAAACAGTCTTAGAGTCCAAAAATGTGAGTAAAGGAGCGCTGGAAATGAAGGAGGGGGACAGATGCTCTCAGCTGGACCAACATGGTTTTGATTAACAGATTAATTAAACCAACTGGTTTCAAAACAGTTTATTAAAAAGAAGTGTTTCAAAAATGGAACCTTTAAAAACCTCTCAATCAAAAAAAGTTTTTTTTAGAGTGATTTAAGTAAAAGTTCATTATTTTTAGTTTGTAATATTTTTTCAATTTTTTTTCCCAATTTTAAATTGCTTAAATATAAAAGAAAAACTATTCCAGAGTTTTTTTTACCCCAAAGTATAATTTCTCAGATTTTTTTTTCTTTTTCATTTTAAGATTTTTTTTTAAGGGGAGTCTAAGTTTTGCAAATTGCGCTCTACTAAATCCTGATTTAAACATCCCACCCACTGCACTTTTGGGCGGTCAGTGACCAATAGAAGAGCTATTTCTAACTTCCATGGTTCAGTGTAAAGACAAAAATTCAGATCCATCCATCTGCAAATCGGGATTTAAAAAGAATCCAATTTGTAAAACTCATCCCTCCCCTAAAAAAATCTAAAAAGAACTTTGAAAAAAACATAAAATTTGAAGAAATATTTGGAAAATAAAATGAATAAAGTAAAAATCTGAAGAAAAAGCAAACTAAAAATATGGGTTTTACTTCTGCAAACGTATCATAAACTTGAAGTACAAATCCCATCTTTGAAACAAATGTTCCGCAAATTGATTTTATGCAAAATGTGTTTTTGTTCCAATTATATTGGATCGAATTTCTTCCCATACATCTCCAATGCTAGTTATACACTGCAGAGACCTAAAAAAAAACGTTTCCTCCAACAGTGATGCCAGGAACCATTCAGATATCGTCACACTGATTCTGTAAATTAAGCATATATCCCGACTCAGGGTGTTTGTTAAGGTTTCCTAAACAAAAAAAAACTTTTAAAATGCAAAGTTTTTCATTCAGATCCATGAGCACTTTTTACCCCAAAGTCACAACAGATTAACAATGACACAGATATTCCATAGTTTAGTTTGTCCTCTCTGGGCTACCGTAGGACCATAGCAGCGGTTTCTGCGGTACCTAAACGCATCCTTATGTTGATTTTCGAACCGAGCCAAGGCAGAAATGCGGCGGCCGGTTCCGTCTCTGTTCCCCGTAACTGAAGTCCATTCGGATCGGCGCCCGTTTCACCGCTCAGCTGTTTCCGGGTCGGTTCCCTACAGCCTGCAGCCTCTGTCGTCTCCTCTCCAGCGCCTGCTGCTTCTTCATCTCGATTTCAGCTGCAGAGCATTTGCCTTTGAAGAGAACAGAAAGTGACATCATTAACTCTGTGTTTTGTAATGAAATAATGCCTTATTGAACTTTAATGCGACTGTGATAAAGTTTTTGTTCCTTCTCTGTTAAACCAGGATGAACCAAATGAAACAAACCCGGTTCTAACCTGGACTCTGAAACCCAAACATTTCCGCTTGTGAGCCCAAACATAAATCATCAAACTGGAGGAGACCCCTAAAAGTAAAGTTATTCTGCTCTAGATTTGCTCATACTTATTAGAGAAGCAATTTTAAATTAATTGTTTTTCAAAATGACAATTTCTAAATTCTTTAATGGGTCATTTAATTGTGTACTTTACAATTTAATGGTATATTTAATAGATTCATCTTGTATCAGAAAAATACAGAAATATTACATTTATTTCTTTAGTTTATTCATGATATATTTTGCCTTCCATATAACTGGAGATCACATCCCGATGATTGTGATCCGAGGATGATTTATCAGACCATATTCTCTCAAAATTTTAGAAATTTTCTATTTAAAAAACATTTTCATTATCTTATGCAGGCCAGTTAGTTATACATCAGATTGTACACCTAAATTCGGTCAATCATATATCAACGGTCATCTGTCAATCAAATTTGTTTCATCGGCATCTTGATTCATATGTCGCAGCTAAAATACGCAACAGTTGAAATAAGAATTTTGTACTTTCCCATTGAGTTCCGTCCCAGTGTTCACGGGGATGGATGTCTGTGTCTTCAGCAGGCATAGAGCTAACAGAACTGGCAGCGTTGCGAGGCAAGGGCTCAAACATGTACGGCTGGAAGCCTTCTACACCAAACCAAGCTTCTGCCACCCTGGCGTCCTCTTCCACAACATCTTCGTCCCCGCTTTCTTCCTCTAAATAAAAAATGAATGACGGAGGAGACTCATCCACGACCTCCGACACTAAACTCTCCTCCTCTTGCATGTTTCCTCTGTCCATAGCGTTCCTTGACAGTGTCGTTTCTAAGTCACCAATTTAGTGCTACTTGGTCCCAATGGAATTTCCCATTGGGAATCTACTAGCACTAAGTTGCTAACTGGTTAGCAAGATGCTTCCAACAAACCGGCCACAACCAAACTTGCTTGCGACCCTTCCGCCACAATAATCTCGCCCCCTTGATAAACGACGAATCACATCCACTTTACTCACTCGTGTAAAGTCGTGCACCACTCGGGAGAATTCAGAAATGCAACGGTTGGAACAGCCGCTTCCCTAACCACTTTAAGTAGCGGCTAGTTTGGTCCAAATATCTGGAAAATCCCAACAAAATACCTTTGCTTCGTTCAACAGGTGTGCCGGTCATGATGCGTTTTTGTCGTAAAAACAAAAAACAAAAGCAAAGTCACAGAAGAATTTAAATTTCCAACAACCTGAGCAAAACTAAAGTGAACCAAAGAAACAACCCATTATAGGATGTAGCGACCTGCCAGAGAAACTCTGGATGGAACCAGAAACAGTGACATTGCAGAACCTGTACGTACTGACCCGGTTCTGTCCCAGTTCACCAGTGGTTGCACACTGCCATGCGTTTGCATCAAGCACAGACTTCCAGGTGGAAAAGAGTGATCTCACCTTTTACTGTTGCTATGGAAACCAGGTTGCTGGGCTTCTTGAAGGTGTAGTGCTGGGTGTTGGGGGGTGGCCCCGCCCCAGGTGGTTCTGATCGGACGCTCCTGAACGCAGTGTCGGCAGCAGGTTTAGGTTGGGAGAATCTGATTGGCTGCTTCACTCCAGCAGCCAAGGAGCCGCCAGCTGCTCTGCCAGCCGTGTCCAAACGGTCCCGGTTCTCCCAGGTTCTGTGGGTCGGCTGCAGCGCCGGTACTGGAGCCTGTCTGGTGCTGGGCTCGGTTTTAAGCTGGACCTGGATCAGGATCTGGTTCTCCAGGTCGTCACACATTTCACACAGCAGGTCGTCGTCAGCCGGGTCGTCCCAGACCGGCTCGGATGAGAACAGAGAGTCCAGGTCGTCGTCCAGGAAGTCCACCTGGTTGGACCCCAGAGTTTCTGCGGTTCCTGCAGGGGTCCTCAGATTGTTCTGGGTTCTTTGTGGTTCTTGTTTAAAGCTGCTTGTTGGACCCGTGAGCTGAGGTCCAGAGAGAGACCGGAACCAGTTCTGGTTTTTAGAACCAGAACCCACCTGCTGGGCTGATGACGTGTTCGTTTCTATGCTCTTCCTTGGAGAACCGAAGGTCCGGTTAGGTTTAAAAGACGCGGCTGGTCTCAGATTTTCCTTCTCAACTCGGGATCCAGCTGGTGGGCCGACCCGACCCGCTGAGCTCTTATCCAGGGAGACCAGCCTGGGAGTGACCCGGCCCAATGAACTCTGACCCGGGGCGACTCTTTCTGGAGCTCTGGCAGAACCTGCCGGTTTCTGGGTAGAACAGAGCTCCGGAACCATGAAGCTCAAAGGATTCTGGGTCATCTCCAGAACCAGTGAGTCATTTAGCAAGTCGTCGTTATCCCAGTCGTCCTCAAACTCGATCGGGACAGAGTCCTGTTTGTTTTTGCCAGGAGCAGAACCAGAACCAGACACGGATGGTTTCCTGTTGACCTCCACGGAAGCCGAAGCAGATCGGGTCTGAGACGGAGCCTGACTCAGGTCTCCGCTCAGCCTCTGGGTCGGACCGTCAAACAGGAAGTCCAAGTCGTCTACCAGCAGCCGATCCGGTGGAGGCTGGGGTTCTGATCCAGCCGCCATGTTCGTGGCCGGCTGAAGGTTCCCAGGGAAACAACTTTCATCTTGCCTGCTGCTCTCTAGGATGCCCTCATCTTCATCCTCCTCCTCTTCATCCTGGTGGAACATATTTAGATCAAACTGCCTGGCGAGTCGCAGCAGGTCCTCCACCCCGTTGGTTCTGCAGAAAAAAAGACTCATGTTACAATCGGATAAAAGATTCTGTGAAACGTCAAACTTTTTCTCCTGCGGGTCAATTTCCATACAAAGCAACACCTAACAATCTATGGAGAGAAATTTGTTCCAATATTAGTGAAGCAAAGACACATTTAAAAAAAACTACATTTGAAGAAAATGCATTTCAAAAATCAAACTTGAAAAATTCTCCAAAAAAAAAAGAAGAAGAAAAAAGAAACGTTTTGAGTGAATAAATTGTATAAACATTTTTACAGCCTGCCTTTTTAATTTATTGATATTATTTTTTTCAGTTTTTATTTTTTAGATTCTATGTTTTTTTCTTTTGACAATTTTTTTTCTTTTTTTATGATTTTTCAGCTTTTTCATGTTTTGTTTTTGGTATATTTTAATTTTATTCATTTTGTTTTCCTCCAGATTTTTTTTCTTCGACTTAATCTTTTCTGTTTTTGGAGTCTCCATTTTTTTTGGTATGGGTAAATATTTCGCCCTCTATACTTCACGGCGGTCTGTAAGTGGACCAACAGAAAAAAGCTGCTCTGCTCGGATGCTAGCAACAGCATTTCTATTGGTCCAAACACAGACCACCCGGACAGGGTGAAATCTGAAAATTGAAATTCGAAAAGAATGTAATTCGTAAACACCCTCGCCCCCCCAAAAAAAAAATCTGAAAAGAACTTTGAAAAATAAAATCTGAAAAATGTATTCAGGAAAAAGAGAAATAAAAAATTGATGTCAACATACATTTGAAATGAAACTCATTCAAAGAAAAATAAAAATAAAGGTAAAATCCACAAAAAAAAAAAAAAAAAAAGCAAACTAAAAATAGCTTGGATCTTGCACACATATTAATCAATCACTCTCAAAACCTTTATTTTTGTTGAGGCGGTTTTCAGAGTCCTGTTTTGGAAAAAGTCATTTATTTGGAACAGATAAAACAACTTTCAGCAATCAGGGATTGCTGAAAGTTGCAGCCCAATGCTGATTATAGCAGTGGGCTTGTGTTATGAGAAGGTTGCAAATACTCTGATCTCCACAAGCTGCACTCTGGGTCCCTGAGCAAGACCCTTAACCCCACACTGCTCCCCGGGCGCCACACAATGGCAGCCCAACTGCTTCCCAAGGGAATGGGTTAAATGCAGTGTTAATTTTGTTCCTTGCTCTGTGTTCGTTGTGACAGTGTAATGACAATAAAAAAGCTTAAAAAATAAAGCAATCAGAACCCGACCTTCTGGTCCAAACTGTACCCACCTCGGGGATTTCTTTTTGGGTTTCGGACCCTGAACATCTGGAGTGCAGGGAATGGCGGCGCTGTCTCCGATCCACTGCTGTAAGGTGGGCTCTGTGACCTGCGGCCTGCCGTGCTGCATAAAGACAAACAGAACATCAGCTGGAGTTCAGCAGCTGGTTCCACCCGACCCGAGCAGAGAGCCTCTGACCTTCGGAGCGATCCTCCTGACAATCTCAGAGATGGTAACTGCTCCAGCAGCTGTCTTTTTTCCTCTTTTACCTGAACACACCACAAGGAGAATATTACATGATACAGATCTGAAGAAAGCAGCATGAGGGGTCTGTTAGAGGTTTACCGGGTTTGTGGGGCGATGGAGAAGTGGCGTCCCAGATGATGTCCTGCTGGAAGTCCGAGTCATTGTGGGGAGACTCTGCGCTGGGAACAGGGGCCGTTTTGGATCTGGAGATTCTGGTGGGGGTCTTAAACTCTGGAAGAGAGGAGATGCACAAAGTTTGATCCAAAACATCAACCTGAACCCGAAGTCCGGCTGCTCAGCAGAACCCAGAACCGTCTCATCACTGCTGTCATCTGCAGATGATGTCCTGCTTTCATTAAACACATCATCATCTCACCTTCATGAGCTGGCATTAACTGGACCAATCTGAGGTCTTAAATTATATTATATTATTAATTTCCGCTCCATCGGAATCAGTCTGATGCCGAATGGCAGTCGAAGCATCCCTGGTTGTAAAAACACCGCTTTCTGTATCAGAACCAGTTCATGACTGGAGAAATTTGGACTAAACTCCAAACCAAAACATTTCTGAGTGGAGCCTGAAACAGACCCGCTGAACTGGGACCCGAACCAAACATGTGACTCAGACCTGGTTCTTTCTGGTTCCCGGTAGACTCTGGGACCTCCAACGGAGCAGTCTGGTTCCGTTTGTAGGTCTGGGCCGGACCTGGTTCTCCTGGGCTCCGGGCAGGATCCGCCTGGCTCTGCCTGAAGCTCCGGCTAAGGCGGCTTCTTCTCAGAGGTGTGGCCGCCGGAGACTCCTCGCCTGCCGGAGGCTGGAACCTCCTTCGGCCTCCGTTCATCACCGAACCAAACGTAAACTGCGGATAAAACTACGTTCAGTCACTCAAATAAATTTTAGTTTAAAATATTCCGCAGAGTTTGAACAGCCCGCCATGTTTTCTCTTTCCCATAGTTCCTTTCGGCGATGCATTCAAGAACTACAAAAAAGTCATAAAAATGACTGCGAATCTTGGTTGATGTAGTTACATGTTTTGCCTTTAAACGTAGCTTATTTTATTTCGGGTTTTTTTTCAATAAACTTATTTTTTTAGTAATGATCTACTACAAATTTGTTTAATACCTTTTTAAAATAGCTTTAAAAATCTTCGTTGCCCCCCAGGGGGCGTTGAACACGCAGTCAGAGATTGAGGAATATGTTCCATTTAATGTTTCGGGTTTTAGGAGAAACGTAAACTAGCCGAACGGTAGAGAAACTGAAAATTTTGGCCAGATAAACAGGACAAGGAACTAAAACCATCAACATAATCTCTGGAAGCTGTCCGTACCAAACTCTGTAGCCTTGTCTTTGCTGCATTCATGGCCTGGTTGCTCTGTAGGAAACGTTTGAACCCAGACTTTTTCATCTCGGTGTCCTCAGGGGCTGACTGGACTCCACCGAGGTTCAATCCCTGGAGGGTCGCAGTTGTGTGCACTTTACTATCCTTTATTTCCTTTACCACAACAAAACAAAAAAAACTGTCGCCTGGCAACCATGGCTGCGTGAAATCAAAAATAAACCGTATATATCTGTAGTTGTGGGGGCAAACACACCTTAGTGGTTTCCTATATGAAAGGGACAATGCCCAAAATAAAACTAATGAATATTGACATATCTAACTGTATAAAAAATACATATATGTATAATGTGACATTGAGACTGTTAATTACTGAATTGCAATTCAATTCAGTTTATTTATATAGTGCAAATTTTAATGACATAATTCATCCTAAGGCACTTTACAGAGACAATACTGTTAAATTGGTTAGGAAAGTTGATTGCAGCAAAGATTTTTCTCTTGCATATTGTTGAAAATTAAAGTTTAGGTTGAGAATGTATGTTAGTGTTTCTGATTGATTTTAGGCCAGCAGAGAAGGCTTTGAAGGCCATCACAGCCCACCACTGGTCGTTACTATGCAGTTGTTTATCTCTTCTGTAATGTCAGCGCGCTGTCATGAGGTGGGATATCCAGAATGTATAAGGTGACGTAATGCTATCTATTTTATTTTCTTTTGAATAAATACTGGACTTTTCAGAATGTTTTTAACCCTTGGTTACAGTAAAAAAAAAGAAGCATTTTTTAAAAGTGTAGATCATTGATTTGCAGAAAGACAGATAGCAGGCAAGCAGTCAACTTTACAGCGTTAAAGGTAAGAAAACTCTCTCTTTTGAGGCTGATGCTATAAAGATTTAATTAGGGAACCACAAGGTAGAGGAAATGAAACTAATTAAAAACATTTATTATGAAGAGCAACTAACTGTTGGTTTTCATGATATGTTTATTTGTGTAATAACTTATTTGACTGTTTTTTGTGTATTGGTACAGTTATAATTTGAGGATAATGTGTTGACTTTATCATGTAAAAGGTAATCAATAACTAAACTGTTCTTCTTTAAGCAGGATAGTCAAAAAAGAAAGAGACAACATTGACATACACATCCAAGCAATGTCTCAAGCTCCAGTAAGTCATTCTGAGTTGAAGCTTTTCTTATGAGGAACCATAATTTTGGTCCACATTAGCCATCAAAAGGGGTTTACACTATATTCAGTGGTGCCAAATAATTGATGGATTTTTCGTTTTTGTTCTCATACAGATGGAGATCAGTAATGTGGATGAACAACTTTGTGAAGGTCAGCAGCATGTGGAAAATATAGACCTGGATCAGCGGAATATCTCTGAGAAATCACATCGCTGTGACCACTGTGGAAAGCGTTTTACGAGCTCTTGCGGTCTGAAAATACACCTGCTCAGCCACACCGGCGAGAAGCCTTTCCTCTGCTATGAGTGTGGAAAGCGATTCAGGCAGAGTGGACATTTGGATACGCATCTGTCCATCCACAGTGGCGAAAAGCCTTTCGTCTGCCATCAGTGTGGGAAGCAATTCCGCCTGAAAGGTGATTTGAATCGCCATCTGTCCATCCACACCGGCGAAAAGCCTTTCGTTTGCCATATATGCGGGAGGAAATTTCTTCTGAAAGGAGATTTGAATCAGCATATGTCCATCCACACCGGCGAAAAGCCTTTCGTTTGCCATCAGTGTGGGAAAAGCTTTGGTCGTAAATCTTCTCTGAAAACCCATCTACATATCCACACCAGAGTCCCTACATGTGCAGGAGGTGTGGAAAAAGCTTCAGACCATTGAAATCTGTGCCACATCATCTGGAAATTGACTGTTTGGTTCTCCTGCTTCTCCTTATCTGAGACCAAAGCTTCACGTCTGTAATAAAATTCACTTGCATTCAAAGATTTTTATATTTCTTCCCTTTGCAGCCTTAGTTCTGATAAAAACTTAAAAATTAGTACATATTCCTTTATTTTTAGCTTCCTTTTAATGGTTTCCTGTTAAATCCAGAATTATAATGAGTAGATAATGGAAGACCCAGATTCAACCGGAGCAAGAGACGTTTAAACAGTTTATTGGAATGAAACTGGCGCTGGTTGGGAGAGATTCACCACAATCAGCAACTAGACTTGAATACAGGTCAGAGATCCAAAAGACACTAAGACAGGTCCGATAGGGGTCAGGCAGGCAGGTTTACAGAAATACTCGTAATAATCTGAAACTAGTCACTGGTCTGACAGCTGGTTATACAGTTAGGTAAGAGGGGAAATCTGATGCAGGCTGAGTGGAAACAGGGCAGAGCTGACAGGTGTGTTGAATCCTGAATCAAACCAGCACTCATGACAGGAATCATGACAAGAATAGAATTCAAAATCCTCCTTCTCACCTATAAAGCCCTAAACAACCAAGCTCCATCTGATATTAGAGATCTGATTGTTTTTGTTGTCACAAACACTCACTTCTCTCTCAATCTGCAGTGGTTCCTAGAATTTCTAAATGTAGAATGGGAGGCAGAACTTTTATTTTTCAGGCTCCTCTCCCGTGGAACAAACTAGCAGTTTTAGTCTGAGAGACAGACATCCTGTCTACTTTTAAGACTAGGCTCAATACATTCCTTATTATAAAGCTAATAGAGTGGCTCAGGTTATCCTGATCTATCTCCATGGTTATTTTGCGATAGGCTTAGACTGCTGGAGGACATATGCTGTGTTCAAATTTGGTGGCTGTCCACAGAAGGACAGTTTCCTGAGACAGCAGGTCTAAATACACATGTAATACATAATCAAAAGTTATTTACACATATAGTAAAAAAAAACGACTACAATCCTTAGAGTAGCCTTAAAATGTAACACAAGGACAGATATTCATGGATTATAGCATTTAGTATTTAAAAAAAGTGCAGCTTGTGCTGAAATGGTCTGGAAGTGTAGTGGATTTTTAGGAAGGATGTTTAGCTACTGCCAGCAGAGAGATGATCGGCTTTGCAGCTCTGGGAAGGAATCTTTTCTTAAGTCTATTTGTTTCTGATCAGAGGTGGGTAGAGTTGCACTTAAGTAAGAGTAGCACTACTTCATCATATTTTTACTCAAGTAACAGTGAAAAGTCGTTTTTAAAGAAAATTCTTGCAAAAATCACAGGAACAGTAGAAAGCACAGCTTATCACTCTCCACGAAAAAAAAACACTTCAGGAGGACGGAAAATAGATATAAAATAGCAATCCTTTTTGAGCCTCACAAAAAAAAAGAATGAGGGGCAGACAGTGCAGGTAAGCGCTGCCTGTTTCACTTCCCTTATTATGAAAAAAAAAAAAAAAAAAACTTGAACTAACTTCACAGATCTCTCTGTGTACTTCCTATTCCAGTAACTATAAAATGTCCCCCAGCCTTTATTGCTGTATTTTTCTTGATGCTGTGCAGCATTTTGGTCATAGTGCGGCTATGTATATAGCAGTGTTCAAATTTGTGTGGCACAGAGAGAATAAAAAAAAAACGACATAATTCGAGATCTGCTCACCCTGCATTAAGGGTGTGCAAAATAATCGTCATGACGATGCATCGTGATTCTAATTTTTGTGATCTACTGCATCGATTCTTGAAGGCAAGAATCGATTATAAAAAAAAAAAAAGGAACAAATAAAATACATTAATGGTTGGCGCACATCAGCTAAATCAATTGGAATACAACTTCCAGTCCAGCAGATGTCGCTGCGGATGTGTTGACGCCCTGTCACATGCATTTAGTCTACCTTCAGCTTTTGGAATGCACTCTGGCATCAATGACTTATCTCCTAAGAGGCGGAATTGTGCAGACTCTGGTAAAGGTTGACCGAGCCAGTCCTAAATATTTTTCAAAACTGCCTTCCAAAAGGGCATTATCAATCCCATAGTCACTATGGAGGATAAGAGGATAAGAGGTGGGTACACTTCTCCATGCACTATGGCATAGTGCATGGAGAAGTGTACCCACCTCTTTTTTACATTTCCCTTTATTATTACCCTTTATTAGACTCATTTGGCATGACTTTCCTTTTTGTAAAATGCAGTTCTGTCTGTAAAATTGACAGACTGTAGTAGCAATGTTTGCTCAGCCACGTCTTTTCTCCATCCAGACGGTGTCTTGCCCACAACCAAAGTCAAATAAATTAGAGAAGTATCCTGAGTAAATCACAATATTTAATTAAACAAATTACACCAAATCAAGGCACAAGTTATACTATTAAATGTGGTTTATTTAACATAAGATATATTTTTCAAAAAGTGTGTTAATTATTTGATGTGATAATCAAATTCATTTATGTTGTCTTACAGAAACGTGGCTGCAGAAAGAGGAATATGTGAGCATAATGAGGCAACTCCCACTAGTTATTTAAATTTTCACATACCCAGAAATTCTGGGTGAGGAGTAGCAGCAACAATAGTTACAATTTTGGCCCTATTGTGGCTCTACATTTTCTATACTTCATCCAAAATAGTTTGTTATCCTGAACTATTTTCTGCATTTGTGCTGCTATATGTTTAGGAGGTGCTGCTATAGAAGATGGTGCCAAGGGAAGAAAACGTGCATGGGTGTATATACAGTAAATACAGTGTTCCACAAATATATGACAGCTGAAATTGCCAGACATTGAAATTGATGCAATTGGCAGATAAAGATTTACCCTCTCCTAATCATAGTAGCTTCATTTGGTCTGTTTCTGTACCGATGTGAGAGTCCTGGATTGAAAAATCAGCTGTGATGGTGCCATTAACATCTCTGTTTATAAATGTTAATTATTGGCCTGTTTCCAGTGTAGTGCTCTTTCTTTTACCCTCAAAGAATTGACTGGGAGCTTGTCTGCCTGGCTGTGTGTTTTCTGGATGGAGCTGCCTGTGGAGGTGGTTGACAGTTACCTTTTGTACCTCTGCTTCTGTCTCCTTGAACCCCAGTCGGCCTTGGCAGATGGCCGCTCACACTGAGCCTGGTTCTACTGGAAGTTTCTTCATGTTAAAAAAGAGTTTTCTTCTCCACTGTTGCTACAAGCGTGCTTAGTGTGAGGGATTGCATTTGAGTCAATGAGTTGATGTAATCAGCTGGTTTGCCTTATGTATGATACTCTATGATCTGGTTCAGAGGTCACGTTTAGGACTGCGGACCCACCTGCTGGCTAATTCGGACTCAACCTGATTTAAAACATTAATAAATTACAGGGCAACATATTCTCATTATCAGTTCGTATGAAATCGTACGAAAAGTTATGCACAGTATTTCGTACGTTTTTGACGTTTTTCTTTGAAAAAATAGATCAGTGCGCATGCGCAGCCAGACAGACGAAAAAAGTAGATCCGCGGACGGACGTAACACTGGGAAAAACAGTGCAATAATTACTTCTTCAAGTCTCTCACTAGGTTGCTTGCTGTTTTGTATCTTAGGGTTAGGGTTAGAGTCAGGGTTAGGGTTAATTCTATGTTAAATTCTATGTTATTGAATGGTGCGTAAGATGCACATGCGCAAGGATATCTTGTCTCGAGGCAAGACGTAAAAATACGACGAAATACAACGGAAAAAAACGTCAAAAACGTACGAAATACTGTGCATAACTTTTCATACGATTTCATACGAACTGATAATGAGAATACACTGTACAGGGTGTTGTTCGACGACTGTGTCGAACAACACGCTGTGCCCACAAAACCCTTCAGAGCTTCCGGGATAAATGAAATTAACTCTCTTGCAACTGTCAATGGCAGCCGGGGAGCAGTGTGGGGTTAAAGGTTTTGCTCAGGAACCCAGAGTGGCAGTCTGCAGGGATCGAACCGGGTACTTACAACCTTACAAGCTCATTGCTCTAACCAGTGTTGTAGTACTCGAGATCGGTCTTGGTCTCAAGACTGGTCTCAAGACCATTTTTTGATGGTCTCGTCTCGGACTTGACCGCATTTGGTTTCGGTCTTGTCTCGGTCTCGACTTCCCTCGGTCTTGGTCTTGACTTGGTCTCGGACCCTAAAAGTCTTGGTCTTGTCTCGGTCTCGATACACTCTGGTCTTGGTCTTGTCTTGGTCTCGGGTTAGGTGGTTTTGACCACAACACTGGCTCTAACCACTAGGCCAGAGGACACAGATTAGCGGACCACAGACCACATTTATAAATTACCAATTGCTGTCAGACGGCAACTTCACCTGCACCGCTTCTCCTGTTTGTGTGGTAAATCCCCGGGACCAGGCTACACATTATATAAATTAGCCAAAGAGCTGCTGTCAGTCTGGGTTGCTGCTGCTAGCTACTTTTAGACACAGCAGGCAAACCAGCAAGCTGGGCAATGGGAAAGAAGGAGAAGATGATGAGAAAAAGAGAGCAGAGAAAGTGTGGACTGCTGGAAGAACTGCGCTGAACTGGTGACAGAAAAGTGAAATGGCATGCTCAAAGATGACCCTGCACATTTTGAGTATGTTTGGCTCAACCTGCTGCTGTGAAGCAGGATTCTCCACCATGAACAGAATCAAAAACAAATATGGATCCAGGCTGAAAATGAGCACCTTGATATGTGCTTGAAAATGGCTTTGTCTCCATTCAAATACCATTTTTATAAAATATCTGAATCAGGAAATTGTCTATATACCAAACTGAACAATTGTTATCTACTTAAAAAAACACTTTAGATTTCAAAGTGTCAAAAATATATATATATCTATATATTTTTATATTTTATATTTAAAAAGTCAGTGTATAACATGGATGCATAAAAACCTCATTTTATTTCAGTGTTAAAATATGTTTAAAGGAACAGATTATAATTAAAAACGTCTCTGGACCTTAACTGGTTGATGATTTTCATTATTCGGACCCTGCTGATTTTTAATTGGTGACCCCTGATCTAGTTGAATATCTCTGTAAAGTGCCTCCAGATGACATGTGGCGCTATATAAATAAACTGAATTGAGTTGTTAGACAAATTATTGTTATGGCCCATTTCCAACTCTTAAAAGTAAAATATTGGCATATGGTTCGTCATAATTATGAACCATAAAGTAAATTTCATCCTGCAAAGTAATAAAAATCTAAAGTAATTATTTTCAGATATGTTGGATTTCGTAATTATGATAAACCACGTGCCATTTTATCCTTTCAGTTGGCGGGAATGGGCTTCCATAAACTGTAACTATAACAGAGATCTCAGTAGGAACCGGAACCATACGGATTAGTTCTCAGTTCTAGGTACCAGAACTTCATACCCAGCGAAATATCGCGGTTTGATATTATTATTGTGGGGGAACGGCACGTGATTCTGCGGTCCTTCGGGTCTGACGTCACCCTCCTCCCCCAGCGCCTCCTCCTCCCCTCTCTGAGTCCATCATGGAGTGAGGAGGAGATGGGGATCGCGCGGTGCCTTCCTCACCGACACCAGAACCTCCAGTTCGGTCACAGCTTCCCCGGTCCGTACGGAGGAGGAGGTGGAGGAGGAGGAGGAGGAGGTGTTTGAGGAGCAGCAGGAACCGCATCACCATGAAGACCCCGCACCGCGCTGCGGCCGCGGCAGCCGAGCGGAGCTGAACCGGAGAAGATGAGCGAGGACCTGCGGCCGGACGAGTGAGTGTCACACCTGGTTCTGGTTCTGGTTCTGTGTGAGTGAGTGAGTGACAGGAGGCGTCTCATCACGTGGACACGGTCTGAGCGCCACTGATGAGGAGGATGAGGAGGGCCTCCTCTTCTTCACTGAGGCCAGAGGAGCAGAAGGAGTAGAAAGGAGGTCCGCAAAAAATAAAGGAGGAGGGATAACCGGTTCGGTTCGGTTCTGTTTCATCCCAGAAATGCTGCATGTTGTGACTCATCTTCAGGTTCCAGCTGATGGAAGCTGATCTGGTCCTGCTGATCTGGTTCTTCTGATCTGGTTCTTCTGATCTGGTTCTGCTGATCTGGTTCTACTGATCTGGTTCTTCTGATCTGGTCCTTCTGATCTGGTTCTGCTGATCTGGTTATGTTGATCTGGTTCTTCTGATCTGGTTCTGCTGGTTTGGTCCTGCTGGTCTGGTTCAGCTGATCTGGTTATGATGATCTGTTCCTGCTGGTCTGGTTCAGCTGATCTGGTTCTGCTGGTCTGGTCCTGCTGGTCTGGTTCAGCTGATCTGGTTCTGCTGATCTGGTTATGATGATCTGGTATTGCTGGTCTGGTTCTGCTGATCTGGTTCTGCTGGTCTGGTCCTGCTGGTCTGGTTCAGCTGATCTGGTTCTGCTGGTCTGGTCCTGCTGGTCTGGTTCAGCTGATCTGGTCCTGCTGACTGGTTCTGCTGCTGTGAGCCGGTTCTCTTCGGACCTCCAGAATAGGCTGCCTTCAGATGACTCAGTAACTCCAGGTACTCCTGGAGGTTCAGGTGGTTCTGGGTTTCTCCTGGTAGAACCTGGACTTTTAGAAACATTGCTAAGATGCTGAAGGCTCTGGTCAGGATGGGGTTAACTTCAGGGGTGGAGCTAGATGGTGGGCCAGGGGTGGCCACCCCTAGCCAATCGTTGCCACGATTAGTGCTATTAAATATCAATTTTATGCAGAATGTTTATTGATACAAGTAGGTAAGCCCCAGAAATCAAAACTGAAAGAGTTTTATCCACTATACCATTGATCTAGAAATTATAGATGTTTAAATATATGCGTCTATTTGTTAACAAAGGCTGTTGGAAAGAATAGTTTGTCTTTATTTAAAAATATGGATGTTTTGCTTGTTAATTTTCCTGTTGGAACAGTGTAGATTGACCCTGAGGTTCTGGTGCCTTTAAACTTTCGGCCACCCCTCAGTGTACAGTGGTTATTGCCTGGCCACCCTTATAAACATTTTGTAGTTACGCCTCTGGTTACAGTATCTCATCAGTCCACTTCCTCCCGAGGTTCATAGAACCGCTCTGGAGACGCATCACAATCTAGTAAAGTTCTGCTGAGACCCGCTTTCAGACGTGGTTCTTTCCTGAGACGGAGATTCTGGAAACCAACTCATTGATTCTCAGACAGGAAAGTTTTATTTGATAAACATAGCATATTATGATAAAGTTCATTATTTTGCATAATATAATAAAACTTGAACATTTATATATTTTAGATTCATTGCTCACTAATTGAAATTTTTCAGGTCTTTTATTTGTCATGATGTTACAAAGTTCAGACCTAAATGCAACAAACCGAACAGAGAGACCAGGGAAAAGGTTTAACGGGTTTTACTGAAGAGGTTAAACAGAAAGAGAAGTGTTGCTCTGAACACTGCTCAACCGGAACTGTAAAGTGAGGGGAAGACACAGCGGTTAGTTCAGGCTCAGTGAGGAATTTGACTCGTGAACTTGGAGAAGAGGATTTGGTTGCTGACTCGTGTTTCCAGAGAAATTGTTTTATCCTTGACTCCTGTCTATGTGCTGTAGTCCCAGTGTTTGTCTGATTCGGTTGAGGGCGGAACAGGGTTTACCCAGAATGCAGTTGCTCTTTGGGGGACGGCAAATCTGAGTGCCACTCAGCTTTCCTGCTGTACTTGAACGGGTCGTAGTGGTGAATAATCCCTTTCTCAGTGAGAAGCTCAAACAATCTCTAGGGGAAAGTGGATCCAAACCTCCTGTTTGAACCCCAGCTCAGTTTAAAGCTCAGTTGATCCTTCCAGGGAGAGAAGGTCCGAAAAATCCAGTTTGCAGGATTACTTCCTGCCGAGAGGCAAAGAAAAAAACAAAGTTAAACTCAAGTTGACAAAAACTCAGTTCAACTCAGCAAAACTCAGCTTGGCTAGAGTACCCAAAACTGGCAAACACTCTGGTGTCGAAGTAGTGGCAGTCAGCAGCTTAAGAACACTCTGTTAATGAGGAAACCATCAGCAGGTGTGTGTGGAGGCGGACCAGAACCAGGCGCCTCCTGGTGGATGAAGAGAGACAAACACAGAAACACGAAACCAAAGACAGGAGTCCTGACATTATTATTATCTTAATACGGATGATTTTGGCATACAGCTTATGAAAACCCCAAATTTCTATTCCACAAAATTAGCATATGATGAAAAAGGTCTCTAAACGAGCTATGCACCTAATCATCTTAATCAATAAATTAACTCTTAACACCTGCAAAAGATTCCTGAGGCCTTTAAAACTCCCAGCCTGGTTCATCACTCAGAACCCCAGTCATGGGTAAGACGGCCGACCTGACTGCGGTCCAGAAGGCCATCATTGACACCCTCATGCAAGAGAGTATGACACAGAAAGATATTTCTGAACCAATAGGCTGTTCCCAGAGCGCTGCATCAAGGCACCTCAGTGGGAAGACTGTGGGAAGGAAAAAGTGGCAGAAAACGCAGCAGAAATTAGAGTGCAATGAATGGAAAATATATACACGTTCAAATTTTATCATTACATTATGGAAAATAATTAACTTTATCACAATATGCTAATATTTTGAGAAGGACCTGTAGATCAAGGTTTATCCGATTACATTTTTAAGATTTATCTGAAACCTTTCTACTTCGCAAATTCAAGATATCTCTGAAAATAACATTCAAAATCCTCTCTGCAGGTCCACCGCTCTGTCTAGAAACTTCTATGGTTCTGTAAGCTGAGGCGGTTGTGTGAAACCGCTGCCTTTAACTCTGTAGTTAACTTTCAGGTCTCAGGCTCATCATTGATTCAGTTGCTCTAATTAAACTGAAAGTCGTTTGTGGGAATAAAAAGTCTCTGTGGAGAAGAGCTCCACCAGCCAGAAGTTTATAAAGACAGATTCTATAGATGTAACTTAGAACTAAAAATGTCTGAGACTCCTTCTTCTCTGAGATCAGCAACATTTTTTTTCTAATTTCTTCACCCAGAAGATCAGAGGGGCAGTCTGTACTTATATATATTTATTGTCATTCCACTGTGACAAGTACAGAGCAATGAAATGAACTCTCTGCATTTAACCCATCCCCCTTGGGAAGCAGTGGGCTGCCATTGTGCGGCGCCCAGGGAGCAGTGTGGGGTCAAGGGTCTTGCTCAGGGACCCAGAAATGTAGTATGTGGGATGGAAGCCCTAACCACTAGGCCACCACTCCCCTAAAGCAGATCAGCTAAATACCTGAAGGCCATTTAGTTGATCAACATTTCTTAAACACTTTTCGGAACTAATTACGTCATAATTTAAGGAGATACTGGTTATTCTTCTCAGATGAACAACTGGAAACCTAAAATCTAAGCTGATGCTAACAGTTGATAGATTTCTATACATCTTTTACTTTCATTTTACCTTTCATTTCCTCTGTGGTGTAATGGTTTAAAGGGAAACGCTGTTTTTTTTTACATTGGGCCCTTGATTTTCTGTTATTACATCATGTTCTACTCACCCATATGAGTTTTGCATCATTTGGAGCCATTCTAAAGATATTCCCTTAGGTTATATCCAAGTAGCGTCTTCCTTTTGGTAAAATACTTGAAGAACAAACTAAACTGTTCATAATTTATTCTTTATTGTACGCCAGCATTCATAACATGTAGGCGAATCACTGTCCCCCCAGACATCTGCGCTTATATTTCTTATATTTATATCTGTTAAAAACAAAGCGGCGCGTGTATGACGTCATAACTTAAAATCTTTTTAAAATGTAAAAAAAAAAAACGGCGTTTCCCTTTAAGTCTTCTATTTAGAAGTGCAGAATCAATTCAAATCCAAGTACATCATGAATGAAATCTGGCATTAAAACAATGTGAAGGAGCAGATGTAATTATAACACTTTTTTTTCTTCACATTCTGTCAATATTCCTGCAGATCTAATGTGGACCGTATGTATTTTACAGGCCTCACTGTAACTCACACTGACCTGGACATGAACAAAATCCTCTTCAGCTGCTCCAGAGGAGGGTTTTATCGTCGTGTGTGTGTGGTCTAGCACACTGATAATACATCCCTGATTCAAATCCATTTAAAAGATTGAATTAATTTCCATTTTGCACTGTTAGATTTGAATGAAAAAACAAGAAATGGTATCAATACAGTCAAAGTTGTGAGCAGGTAATTTATTAAAAACAACAAATTAACTTAAAAAGGCTAGTGGATCAGAGAATCTGAGCCCGACACGGGCTTAAATCGGCCCCTTAACACTAAACTTATGCACTAACCCTATATTTGTGTGTTCCCGATGAGTCAAATTGGTTCCAGAAAGAGCCGTGTGGCTGCAGGTTTTCTTTCCAACCAAGCAGTAGCACACCAGACTCCAGTCATCTCATCAAGTGAGTCCAGTCTTAAAGTTGTAGGGAAGTCATATTTAAATGTCAAATCATTCTGGCTTAAACATGTATATAAATGTACTCTTTATCAGACTATATTGTCCCAAAATGTAGAAAATTTCTATTTAAAAAAAAATCCTGTCTTAAAATCTTTTTTTTTTTTTTTCATTATTTTATGCAGGCCAATTAGTTATACATCAGCTTGAACACCTAAATTTCCCCAATCATGTATCAACGGTCATCTGTCAATCTAATTTTTTTCATCAGCATCTTGATTCATGTGTCGCAGCTAATAAACGCAACGGTTGAAATAAGAATAATTTCCTTTCGCATTGAGTTCCATCCCAGTGTTGACAGGGATGGACGTCTGTGTCTTCAGCAGGCGTAGAGCTAACAGAACTGGCAACGTTGCGAGGCAAGGGCTCAAACATGGCGTCCTCTTCCACAACATCTTCGTCCCCACTTTCCTCCTCTAAATAAAAAATGAATGACGGAGGAGACTCATCCACGACCTCCGACACTAAACTCTCCTCCTCTTGCATGTTTCCGCTGTCCATAGAGTTCCTTGACAGTGTCGTTTCTAAGTCACCAATTTAGTGCTACTTGGTCACAATGGAATTTCCCATTGGGAACCTACTAGCACTAAGTTGCTAACTGGTTAGCAAGATGCTTCCAATAAACCGGCCACAACCAAACATGCCTAAGAACCTTCCGCTACAACAATCCCACCCTCTTGATAAACAACCAATCACATTCACTTTATTCACTCGTGTTAAGTTGTGCATCACTCAGGAGAATTCGGAAATACAACGGTTGGAAAGGCTGTTTCCTTTCGACTTTAACATGATGACTTGATGAAATGACAGGAGTCTGGTGTGCTACTGCTTGTTTGGAAACAAAACCTGCAGCCACACGGCTCTTTCTGGAACCAGCATGACACCCCAGCTGTAGAGGGACCGTCACAATATGAGCCGTCCCAAACTACGTAGTGGGTAGGGCAAGTTGACCATTCAGGAGCTTAAATAGTGAGTCTGTTTTAGTGCAGGCTTGTTGGAATTTGGCGGGGGGTGTAACGCGAACTAGTGGCGTCGGAAACGCGCATTCATATGCAGGTTCCGCTGGTTTGCTGCATCTTCGTCACACGGACAGAAAATCACAAGTTGGGAAAAAAATGAAAAATACGTCATTAATCCCTAAATTGAGCTTTATTTGACTGGATAGATTTATTTTTAAGAAAATGGCAAACATGTTTATGTTAACTTGCCCCACAGAGCTACATGTGGCGTCTTTGTGTTCCCTCCAACCTTTCCGTTGGAGGGAAGAGGCCTTCCCATTAACGTTTATACCCGCCACGTACAATCCAGACGGTTTTGAGTGGGACTTTACAGCAAGTGACCCTTGATAGTTAAAGGTTAGTGGTTAGTGGGCGGTTTAGGATTCAGCCTTAAGGGCTGGTTATGCTCACTTAGCAGTGTGTCGCAGTGAGCTTGTCGCAGGTATGACGCAGATATTTTTGATTTAGGCCCAATTTTGAAGTGTGCTCTGCGCTATGTTATTCCACGCCACAATGCAAGCGGTACAACCACGAACTAGCTAGGAAAGAAGCATTTGTTCTTTTAAAGAACAAAGAGGCTAAAACATATAAATACATTGAAATGGAGTCAAAATACACCCCTGTTCTAGAAGCCATGGTTCCAGAAGTTCTACCTGTGTGTGTTGCAGTGACAGCTACATGGTGCGCGTCAAGGCAGTGGTGATGACCAGAGACGAGTCCAGCGGCGGTTGGTTGGCGCAGGATGGCTGTCTGAGCAGGGTGGGGGTGTGCAGGCTGCTGCCCAACGAGCTTCAGGGACGGAACCGCTTCCTGATCCACGGAGAGCGGCTCAAAGACCGGCAGGTGGGTTCTACGCTCCTTCACCGGGGTCATGGTTCTGTTAAACATCTGGTTGGTCGGTGTTGGTTCTCCAGCAAATCCAGCCTCAGTTTGGAAAGAGAGAGAAGAAGGGTTGAGTTTTGAAACTCTGATCAGAACATCAAGCTTAAGAATACACAAAGTAAAACAAAAAAGAAAATTAAGATCCAGTAATTTATTTTCTGCTAAATAACCAGGAAATAGAAATTTCATGGTTTCAAACAATTCTTCTTTTATTTATTTATTTATTTGTTCAAGAGGGAAGATCACATATCCCTGTGTTGTATTACCAGTGTTGGGGAGTAACGGATTACAACGACGTTACGTAATTTAATTACAAAAACAGAGTAACTGTAATTCCTTACAGTTACAATGAGAAAATATGTAATTCAGTTACAGTTACTTCCGAAAATATTAAGAATTACAAATTTAGTTACATTTTTAAAAAAATATAAAGAAAAACCTTTGCGAAATATGTACAGTGAACCCTCGCTATAACGCAGTTCACTTTTCACGGTCTCGCTGCTTCACGGATTTGCATCATGCATAGTTAAACTTTATTGTCAAACATAATCAATGGTGGCATGTCGGTTTATAAGGAACTTTTGGCCCAGAAGAAAAAAGAGCGACAACAACTACCGATAGCTATTTTCTTCTCTCCAAAAAACACACCTGTACCGCAGGCTTTAGAAGAAAAAAACGCCACAGAGCAGAGTCAGGATGCAGCGGCTCTGTCAAACAGCAGTGAAATACTGTATTGAACACGTCAGTCACTATTTATCCTTCTGTACTTTGTATTTTTTTTCATAATCATTTTTCATTTTCTCCCGTTCCAATCCGTCACGGCGGGGCGGTGCTGATCCCCACAATATTAACTCTTTAGTTCGTATTGATGATTAAAATTATTACTTATTTATTGATAACCATATTATTTTACAGTACAGTACAGTAGTCATTTGTAAAAAAAAAAAAAAACAGACAACAACAACGTTTATACCGTACTTTTATTTGTTTAACAAATGCTTGGGCCTGTAAAAAGTTTTTGTTCCTTGATTTCAATGTTGTATGGAGTATTTCATTGTATAATAACTTACCCCCGCGATAAACGAGGGTTCACTGTAATGATATTTTTATTGCTTCGCGCCCTATATCGCCGTTTCCCGCTACGGCTTCTTGTCTCTATCATATTTGCCACTCTGATGATCCATCCTGTGCTGGTGGAGCCTCCTTGAGGAACAGCAAGCGAGCAGACGGTTCTATTTCAGCTCAAGCAGGGCATCAAAAATGAAAGCCGTCCAGCACTGGAAAATTAAGGAGCATTTCATTTACATCTGTGAAAATGGCTCAAATTTAACCGTGCAGTGCAAGAAGTGTTTGCCGGCTATCAACCTGAACCTGCTTGTGTTAGTCTGCAAACTGCATAAATGGTAGAGCCTGGGGGAGGAACAGAAAAGAGTATGGCCCGATGAGAGGAGTCTGAGAAAATCTTCCATGCCTGGTGCTGGCATCTCTTCTTGTTGACATCCTGTGATCGCCTGTCAGCAGTTCCCTCTCAGCTTAGTGCTTTTTTAAGGTTCACATTCAGTTCTCAAAAATTAAATGTTGAACATTGGTCAATACTCATTAAAACCTTAAAGTAATCAAAAAGTAATCAAAAGTAATTAGTTACATTACTTTCTAAAAGTAATTGAAAAAGTTACACTACAATTACATTTTAAACAAGGTAACTTGTAACTGTAACGGATTACATTTTTTAAGTAACTTACCCAACACTGTGTATTACTATGGGAAAGTTTCGCAGGGGTAAGTTTGGAGAACAGAGAAAAACAATTTGCTCCACCAATTGTCAAAGTTAATATCATGGCTTATGGCATAACATACATGTATGTATAAGTTGACATTTAGGAACAAATGCAAATCTTATAGCAGTTCTAAAGAACTTTCTGTGTTCTTTAGAACTGAACTCACCTGACTTGTCAGTGACTAATGTGCTGACGATTCTTGAAATAGATAAATATGTCATGTTTGATAATTTTACAGTAAATACGTGTATGAATCGCTGCAGGAAGGAACAGCAGTGCCTGAATATGAGCCCTGCACAATTTTCAGAAATAAAGAGTATCTCAGGGAAATGTATTAGCATTGACTTCTGTCTTTATAACCAACAGGGAAAGAGGGAAGTGACGTATGTCGTAAAGCAGGCTGAGGTAGTTGTTTTGTTTGACAGAGGCCGTTTCTCAATACGTGTACTTGTGCGTTCTCATGTTCTCGTGAAACATCATCAGCCTCATTCCTAGTACTGCTCCAGTTCACAAGATCAGCAGACCGAGAACGGACAAAGTCCCCGGGATGTTGTTCTCACCCCTCCATATTTACCCAGCATGCATCAGAGCAGACTTGTCCGTTCTTGAGATTGACAGCTGTCCCAGCATGCACTGCGGCAGCAGCAGCTTTCAATGGAGCGCTCACAGAGCTCAGAGTATTAAGTTAAAAGTTTACTGTTCTGTAGCCGTTGGGCAATAAAAGTAAGTTTTAAGATAATTTTAAGGTGAGGACATTATACTTTTAAGCATAACTATACAGCCCATTTACTGATTTAATGTCTAATAAAAAAAAAATTCAGAAGTTGAGAGGACCGCAGCAACCAGCGGAGCTCCGGGGTTAGCGGCAGCCAGTGCTAACCTCAGCCCGTCTGCAGCAGCCCTCTCTCGGCATAGCCGTTTGTGAAGGACCGCTGACTCTGATGCCGAGTTCTTTTGTTTTATTTGGCAAAATGTTAATTTCATTTGTGTTTATCTGACTGTTTTAATTATTATTCCGCCACTAAATGAAAAAAAGTCCGAATTTATTATTATCTAGAGACTATTAATAACAGGAGGTGAAATGCAGCTCCAGACGAGCGTCACGAGTCACAAGTACCTCTGTTCAAATTGACCCAGATTTATACTGTTTGCTCCTATTCTCTCCAAGTCTATACTTTACCAAGTTCCTCTCAAGAACATATTTGGCGAGGACACAAGTCCGTACTAATGTTCTTATGAATTGAGAAACGGCTAGAGTTACTGCCATCCTCCTGGTCTACGGAAAAAGAGGAAGAGTCCAGTCTGAATTGAATTACTATTGGTGAAAAACAAAAAAAGTCACGTGTTGTTTTGTGAATGTAATTATCTCTTTTTTAAGGGTTTTTCCATTTTGTTCCATCTTTACTTTACTTTTTTTTAGGTGATTCTTGAGTGTTTCTTGAAAAAAGACCTGGTCTACACAAAAGCCACTCCCACGTTCCATCACTGGAAGGTAGACAACAAAAAGTGTGGCCTAACCTTTCAGTGCTCGTCTGATGCCCGAGCTTTTGACCGTGGGGTGAGGAGGGCTCTGGAGGATCTGGCAGAAGGTATGAAAGGAAACCTTTTAGCTTAGCATATGTCTCTCTCCATAAGGCAAGCAGTTAGCTGAAGTATTCATTGTACAGCAAGTGAAAGAATGGAGTACTACAGAGTTGACAAAGTCCACTTGTCCCAGAATAACACTCTGTTTCTCATTCAGTTTCATTCCCCATGTTTTTCTCCCATAATGTTTACATTTGATCACTGCTACACTTTAAGAAAATGGAAATGTCATGAGAGCTGGGCAAAACGAAGTCCAAGTGTCTAAGATTTGGTCATCTAGCTTTTTTTTCTTCTTTCAAGTGAGGAACTATATCTCCCAAAGTGTTTCATAAAAAATAACTTCAACATGCATTAAGTATTAAACAGTTAAAAGGATAAATTCCCAATACAACAATCAGAGAAGTCATTGTGAAAATGAAGGGGAACTCTGTGCTCTAGAGCTATCCATAAGGGTCACAGGGGGCTGGTGGCAATCTCCCTTAGTTTAGTGGCTAAAGGCAAGGACAGATTTGGACAGATTTCCAGTTCTTTCCTGGGCAACAATTTCCCTTTTTCCAAATACCTACCTCCTGTTTCTAGCTCCTATCCTTCAACTTAAATGGAGTCAACAATTCCAACTTTATCCAGGGCTGGAAAGGAATACTGGACTGCTGTGAGGATCCCAGGCGGACATAATTACCTGACATAAAATTGGACTACAGCCTCCTGATAAAGAACTACAAAAAACTAAATTTACATAAATAAAGTGAACAGCTGAAGCTATTAAGTATAAAACCTGAAGCATAAGAATGTGTGTACATGAGCATGTGTCACACAGAGTACAGGGTAGAAATAATGGATTTTTTTTTTATTCCATAAGGTGGGCTGTGCCTATACGCCTTGTCACCAAAAAATACCCAATATTCCTTGGCAGTAGCTCAGGAAATCATGAGGTTGTTATGCAATTGGCAATAGAAAGCATATTGCTTTCTTGTCCTAGCTCTTTCCTTACTACCAACACTCAAGACCCTTGCTTAATCTTAGTAGCTTGGTAATGACACTGAAGCCAAGGCAGAAGTGTGTCAGAGGTCTCCGAAATAAAAGCTGTTCTAATAGTGCTGGCAGTCAGGAAGCAGCTAGGATAAGGAAGCAGGATGCTTGCTAGTCTCAGTTCATTTTGCACAGGTGACCTCCTGATGACCCTGAACCGCCCTTGTATGACAGACAGTATAGCTAGAGCCCACTATTTTGTGACATGTACTGTGTGCGACACATGAAAACGTCCACATCCACATATGTTTTGGGGTTTTTACTGGAGAGCTTTTGTGGTTTGTCTCATTTGTGAAACTTGTTTTTTTTTTCTGGAAGACTATTGTCCCAAATTGACCCAGCTTCATTCATGTTTGTGTCGGCCCATATGGCTGAGGGTTCAGGTTATGTTTTTAGACTTTGGCAGGAAGTATGCCGAGAGACCCCACAAATCCATGGAGTAAACATGCAAAATGTTGGGAATCAAATCCAGGGCTATTATGCTGTCGGATGGATGGATGGATGGATGGATGGATGGATGGATGAAAGAGGACCTTTTAGAGGAACATTCAGGTGTCACACATCTGTTTTCTGTTCTGAAGGTTCCACAACTTCTTCATCTACGCTGCAGAATGAAGCAGAGCTGGGGGATGATGATGTCTTCACGGTAAGAAGTCTCTTGAGTCTCTTTATTGATAAATGATTAGTGTTTAAGACAGATTTTTTAAAATGAAGTCCTGACATTCCATAATAACCCATGTTCCAATAACAATCTGCAAACACACCTCTTGGCAAGAAATTACTGAACTCGACAACAGGAAGGAAGCACTGAGAACCATCAACAGGATCAGGGATTAGAAACCTGATGAGCATGTGGGATGGACCCTCACGCAGTGACAACGTGGACTGTGGTCAGATGGATCAGTATATAGGACTAATGAGGAGAAAGAGTCTCCAACTTGTCAGCAACCAGTCCCAGATGACAAAGTTTTCATCTGGGACTCAGGGCATGGATATAGAATAATTCAATTCATTTTTTTATATAGCTAAATTTCTTTACAGAGACAATTCAACCAGATCATGCAGTCAGATTGGTCCAATGTTTTCTATCTAAGGAAAACCAACTGATTGCATCGACTAATTAACTCCGAAGCAATCCCTCACACTTAGCATGCTTGTAGCGACAGTGGAGAGGAAAAACTCTCTTTTAACATGAAGAAACCTCCAGCAGAACCAGGCCCAGTGTGAGCGCCATCTGCTGAGGCACACTGAGTTCAAGGGGTCAGAGGCAGACATAGAAAGCGAAGCAGAGATAAAAAAGGTAACCGTCAATCAGCTCCGAAGGCGACCCCATCCAGGATACACAAAGTCAGGCAGACATGTTTCAAGCTATCTCCCATGTCAGGAAATGAAAGAGGGCTAACCATACAGTTAGTCAGTCAGAAAAAAAAGGACTATACTGAAAAACAGGGCAAACCCAACATCTATAAACAAAGGTGTTGATGGTAACAGCACAGCTGATATTTCTCTCCATGATATAGTCTCAGCAATACAGGGTCAGACAAGATGAAGCGACTATGATGAGCAAAAGCAGAGCAAGCATAACGTTAGAGATTGATCAAATACTGCAGAATGGGAGAATAGCGATAAAATGAAGAAGAATGATGAAAAGTAGTCCCTATGTCCTCCAGCAGTCTAAGCCTATAGCAGCATAACTATAGAGATAGCTCAGGATAAGATGAGCTACTGTAATTATAAGCTTTATCAAAAAAGAAAAGTGTTAAGCCTAGCCTTAAAAGTAGACAATGGACTAAAACTGGTAGTTGGTTCCACAGGAGAGGAGCCTGATAACCAACTAATCTGCCTCCCATTCTACTTTTAGAAATTCTAGGAACCACTATTAAACCTGCAGATTGAGAGTGAAGTGCTCCGTTAGGGACATATGGAATTATCAGAATAAGAAGTAGATCCTCAAAAGACATAAAGGCTGTAAAATGTAGAGGAAGTAATGGGAACACTACCAATATTTTGGAGGTGTGGGCTGCAGTAATAAAATCTTTTGAGGGTTTTTAAACACAAAACTGGTGACAGTTCAACTGTCTCAACAGTTAAAAAACCCTGAAAAAATGAAAATAATGTTATTACAGTTCCTGGATGTTAAGCTTCCATCCATTTCTCTGCGGATTTGTTTCATTCTGAATAGTTTCCATCAAGATATCTACTGTAACCCTGCAGAGGTTCATAGGATTTCAGCGAACAAAGATCTGTCACAGTTCCTGTTTATATAGGGAGCTTCAATTAAAGGAAAGAACAGCCTGCTGCAGGTCTTTCCTTCCTGTCTGCTGTCTGAGTCCTTTCTCAAGAACCCGAGGAAGTAAGATTGTTTCCAATAAGACCTACAGGATAACTCACCCAGTCTGGGAACACGTCTTTTTCCGAGGCAATTTTATCTATTCAACTCTAAAGAAAATCTACAAAAAAAGACTACGTCGTAGATCCCAAAAATATGTCTGATCACATAGGGACTGATCTGTTTGGTTGCTAACGACAACTATTAGCTTAGTTAGCTCTGGTCCTTAAAGGAATAGTACACCCAAAACATGATTAGCCTTCATTTTTTACTCACCCCCATGCTGAACAACACTCTGGAGTACTTTTTTGATATCTCAAATGCATCTGGAGATCTGGGAGGTTTCTTGCTGTCTGCTTACATTCAAATAATGGAGGTCCATAGCGCCCGAGGCAGAAAGTTCCATAAAAGTCCACAAAAAACGTGTCAATATTTCTCCATACTGCTCGTCCAATGTGCAATTTCATCTAGTTTGGTCTGCCGCGGTTTCCGTAGACTCGTGAACGCGCAGGCGCGCGCTTTTAGGAAATCCTATACACTACTGTTTATGCTCTAAAAACATTCTAAATGACTTTGTTTCGAGTAAATTCTGAATGCTACCCACTCAGGACACTTGGAATATATTGGACGAGCAGTATGGAGGAATATTGACACGTTTTTTGTGGACTTTTATGGACCTTTCTGTCTCGGGCGCCGTAGACCTCCATTATTTGAATGTCAGCAGACAGCAAGAAGCCTCCCAGATCTCCAGATGCATTTGAGATATCAAAAAAGTACTCCAGAGTGTTGTTCAGCATGGGGGTGAGTAGAAAATGAAGGCTAATCATGTTTTGGGTGTACTATTCCTTTAAGGGGAGCTGAGACTGATGTAACATGGTGCTCTGTGTCACATGACCCATTCAGTGATGGATTCCACCCGCTAACCTAACGTCCACAATGAATAAATATGTAGGTAGAAATTTAATTATACAGTGAGACATAACTGTATATATATTTCTTAATTAGCTTCTTTATTTTTTCACCTTTTTTGTAAACAGTTTCATTTGTTACTTGAATCAATTTGTTTAATTGAGGTCTGAAGAAGTTTTCTCTAAGGGAGACCCTAAAGAAATAAGATTCCTTTTGTAGGGTTTTGTTTTCCCTAGAGATGTCCATTGAATGCAAACTCATAGCCATGTCTCGATGTGTAGAACACTACACTGTACCCTTAATTTGGTTCTAATAACAGCAGATTGTTTACTAGTTTGTCTACTGGTAATTACTTTAGTTTTTTTTTATTATGCTGATCATAAAGCAATTTTTACAATGTGTTATGTCATTGGCTGATCTTTAATAAATATTTTAACCAGTGTGTCAGACTCATTTTGGATTGACACTAGCTTGGTACAACGTTAAGTAGCTTCTGATGTAGTTAAACTACTTTTAACACATTAGTGTAACTTAGCTTGCTATAATTCTTTAGGTGGTAGCTTTTGTGTAGTGAAGCTTAATTTATTGTTGAGTAACTGATAGCTTAGCTCACTACACTGGACAAGTAGCTTGCCCAACACTGCGTATAACCTAGTAGGTTTGACCATAGTAATGACCAATTGTTGGCTATATTTAGCCCTGGGTCAAGCTGTCTTCCTTTTACAAACTATTTGTATTGTTTCACCTTCTCCATTTCTTCTCCAGACTGCCACTGACAGCTCATCCAACTCGTCTCAGAGGAGAGAGCCCACCATGCATGTGTTGGCTCCGGCCAATTTCTGCGAGCCGCGTCGACACCACTGCATCCTGGGACATTTCTACGAACATCACCGGCCCTCTGACCACTACTTCCTCGATCCGGTGAGTCCACATCTATCTCTGAGAGGCATTATGGCCGAACTGATCTACATGTCTCCATGATATTTCTGCATCAACCAATCTTCTCTGACTCTCCTAGGCAGTACACATCTTTCCTCGTCATGCCAACTTCCCTTTGGAGGAGGAGGAGATTGTTCGCATTAGCCCTCACGAGCGAACCTGGCTCACCGGCTATGAGGACTACCGGCACGCCAACTCCACACGTGACAAACTCATGCAGCCACACATCCCGGACACCTGTGTGCACTTCACCAAGAGTGAGCCGCCCAAACACAACTACACGTACCCGTACCCTCTGAGCTGCGGCGTGCAGCGAGGCTATGACAGCAAGCCGGGCTGCCTGGAGATGGGAGGTGGTCGCAGGGCAGTGGTGACGCTGCAGCCTCGACCTCCTCAGTCCAAAGGGAAGTGTCGCATGGAGGATGGGGAGCGTTTTCGCTGCGTTTACTGTCAGGACATGTTCAACCGCGAGGACAATGGGCGGGGCCAGTGCCAGGAGGCTCCTGACCCCATTCAGACCTGTATCCGCCGGGTCAGCTTCATGTGGTGCGCCGACAGCCTGCTGTATCACTGCATGTCGGATCCGGAGGGCGACTACTCGGACCCGTGCTCCTGTGACACCAGCGACGAGCGCTTCTGCCTGCGCTGGACGGCGTTGATCGGATTGTCGCTGGTGGCGCCCTGCATGTGCTGCTACGCCCCTCTAAGGGCATGCCATCGCTGTGGGGTGGCTTGCCGCTGCTGCGGTGGGAAACACAGAGCTGTGGGGTGAGTCACCGCAGGCCCCGCCCACACAGCAGAGACCACCTGGAAACCGATGCCGCTGTTATTTCTGTTGTTGATGTGGTTCATTTGTAGAAAGAAGTGAAACTTTGTGTCAACCGTTGTGCTTTTTTTTTTTTTTGTTACTCAGAGGACCAAAAGGCTTTGTGAAGAAAATGTCTCCACAGAACATAAAAGTATGAATATGGGTGTATTATTAGGGCTGACAGATTTAATGTCAACACAGAAAATCATCTAAAGTACATCTAGAAATCAATTTGTAGTTGGTAACACTAAGGCACCATAGCATTTATCATGAAGGGTCGCTTCATTCTCTTTGTTTTGCAAAAAAACAAAAACAAAAGTTAAAGCAACCAAGTGTAGTTTTTAGCCATTAGGGGTGTTAGTGCTGTAATTTCCAGGTTTAACACCCCTGAAGGCCAGTGGCATTTCTATATTAAACAGTCTCCCTGTATTCTGGTTCTGCTAGCAGATCATTCTGGACCAGCAGATGGAGAAGTCATGATTTCCTTGTAAACACAAGGACACATTCACCGCTGTAGATGAAATCCTACATCGTAATTATGTCTGGTCAGGTAAGGGTCAGATCTGTCTTGTTGGCTAACTACTTTTAGCTTAGTTAGCTCTGGCCTTTCAGGGGATCCACCATTAGTTGTACCAGCAGACTTTATTTGGGGAAAAAAATGTGTATATTCAGTTTAAAAAGAACACACTTAAAATACTGTAAACTGTTTAGTTTAAATAAATGTACATATTATTTACGCTGCAATGCATTCTGGGCAAGTAATGTATGGTAGGTCCTTTAGCGTTAGCTCTTTCCAGCCAAAACTACAAAAAGTGAAGTTGAACTTTTCAGTTTGAGCCACAGAACTTTGAAATGAATGAGAATGTATAAATTACAGGAGGTGATAAAGATGAGGAGGACCAAATGGAGGAAGAGAGGAGAATTGGATGAAGAAGCTGATGCTAGGAGATGCTAACCAAGATGGAGAACTATGCTACAAAAAGCTCCGGTTTCTAAATGAGGGTGTTATCTACGGAAGAGGATTAGGGCCACTGAAAAAAAAAAAAGTTTACTGATTTTTAAATTTTATTTCAGTTTAACATGGGAATGTTAATCTCAGAATTCTGACTTTGATCTCAGAATTTTGACTTTTTTCTCAGAATTCTGACTTTAATCTCAGAATTCTGACTTTTAATCTCAGAAATCTGACTTTATTCTCAGAATCCTGACTTTTTTCTCAGAATTCTGACTTTAATCTCAGAATTCTGACTTTTTTCTCAGAATTCTGACTTTAATCTCAGAATTCTGACTTTAACCTCAGAATTCTGACTTTAATCTCAGAATTCTGACTTTAATCTCAGAATTTTGACTTTTTTCTCAGAATTCTGACTTTAATCACAGAATTCTGACTTTAATCTCAGAATTCTGACTTTAATCTCAGAATTTTGACTTTTTTCTCAGAATTCTGACTTTAATCACAGAATTCTGACTTTAATCTCAGAATTCTGACTTTAATCTCAGAATTTTGGATCTTAATGTAGATGGGCACCATGAAGGAAGAGATGTGGGAGCACTCAGCTTCACTGACAAAGATGTGAGTTGTTTGAGAGGGGCAGTAACACATTGGTGGAAAATGACGGAATTAGGCAACCTTTTACATGCCCGCGGGGTCCCCTCATTAATGGAGGAGCAGAAGGTCATTAAAACAAGAGAGCTAGTCTCTAAAACAGACATGGCTATGGCTTGATGCTAACATGTTTGTTATCTGTCAGAATTCTGAGAAAAAAGTCAGAATTCTGAGATTAAAGTAAGAATTCTGACTTTTTTTCCAATACTAAATTGAAATAAAATTTTAAAATCAGTCCTTTTTTTTTTCAGTGGCCCTAATCCTCTTCCGTAGTTAGCAGTTAGCATCAGGATCATATCATTTTCTCAGATATACTAGAATGATGAGGTACAACAACTGACAAATGCTTGACTTTTAATTTAAACAGTTCATTATCTTTGGGTTTGATTCTGATTTTCTTCTGCTAACGGTGTTAGCACTAGCGAATATAGTAAACAGTAAATAACAAGCCAATTACATTTGTTTATTTTTCGTACAGATATCTCATGTATAACAAAAACTTTGAGGCAGCGACGCAGTGTGGCCATTTTTTATTTATTTACACCAGTCAAACACAAGTGATAAAAACAGCTCTGCTAATGTTAGCCTTCCCATGTTCACTCTGTAGGTTCCAGCCCCGCAGGACCTAACCACGTCATCAGCCCATCATATATTGCACAGTTGAAAATGGACTTCCACGGGTGAAAAATAGGACAAAGAATATGGTAATTATGAGTTTTTACACAAAGGGAAATTCTACGTCAATAAGAAAATGACAACATATTAAAGTCACGGGTTCAACTAGTCATGGATCCCTTCATGGAGATGTCAGGATGTCGCAAAGCGGTGCTATGGGTCACATGATTCAGTCGATCCTTTAAAGTTTCTTGGGAGTGTTTTTAAGAAGAGAAACCTGGATTTGGAATCATTAGAAAAATCTTAAATTAAGCTAATAATTGTGTCAAATTTTACACATTGTTGCTTTAACTTTTAAAACATGTATACCGTATTTTCACGACCATAAGGCGCACCGGACTAAAAGGCGCGTTTTTTATATACAGGTACATGTCCTCTCAGGTGGATTTTCCAACTTAAAAACATATTAAAACTACTTTATTCCCACTGATCACAGCAAATAAAGATGCAAGGTGTATTTATTACAAAGTATTATTCAAACCTGGGAACCGGCATGCTGATGACACAGGGCTGTGATTACTCCTCTGATACAGTTTATTGAGGCATAAATTAACTTAAAACATAGGCAGGATAATAATCTGGATGAACTGACTGCAATGATTAAATTTTCAGGTGGACTTTCTCACTTAAAAAGATTTAGATTATTTAGATGAAAAAACACCTGCGGAGGTGAGCCCGTATGCCCCGCGGCCCATAGGTTGCTGTTGAATTAAGTTTTCAGGTAGAAAAATAGAGCGGGAGCAAAACTGAGTATGATTGTGCTTTATTAATGTATTTATTACAGAGTATTAATCAAACCCCTCAAAGTCCTCATCCTCTGTTTCTGAATTAAACAGCTGCGCTAAATCCGACATGCCAGTTTCCCCTTCTTCTTCGTTTATTGACGCATAAATTAACTTAAAACATAGGCAGGATAATAATCTGGATGAACTGACTGCAATGATTAAATTTTCAGGTGGGCTTTATCACTTAAAAAGATTTAGATTATTTAGATGAAAAAACACCTGCGGAGGTGAGTCCGGATGCCCCGCGGCCCATAGGCTGCTGTTGAATTAAGTTTTCAGGTAGAAAAATAGAGCGGGAGCAAAACTGAGTATGATTGTGCTTTATTCATGTATTTATTACAGAGTATTAATCAAACCCATCAAAGTCCTCACCCTCTGTTTCTGAATTAAACAGCTGTGCTAAATCCGACATGCCAGTTTCCTCTTCTTCTTCGTTTATTGACGCATAAATTAACTTAAAACATAGGCAGGATAATAATCTGGATGAACTGACTGCAATGATTAAATTTTCAGGTGGGCTTTATCACTTAAAAAGATTTAGATTATTTAGATGAAAAAACACCTGCGGAGGTGAGCCCGTATGCCCCGCGGCCCATAGGCTGCTGTTGAATTAAGTTTTCAGGTAGAAAAATACAGCGGGAGCAAAACTGAGTATGATTGTGCTTTATTCAAGTATTTATTACAGAGTATTAATCAAACCCCTCAAAGTCCTCATCCTCTGTTTCTGAATTAAACAGCTGCGCTAAATCCGACATGCCAGTTTCCCCTTCTTCGCTGTCAGTCACTTTCCGTGCAGCGCAGCTCCTCAGAAATAATGCCGGCTTTTGCAAAAGCTTGAACAACAGAGCCAGCAGACACGTTAGTCCAAGCATCTACAATCCATCCGCAAACTGTGGCGTAACTTGCCCGGCGCTGCCTTCCACTTTTCCTGAAACTGTGGTCTCAGTCTGTCATCCATCGCTCCCACGCCGCTCGCAGCCTTACTTTGAACGGCCGCGTCACACCGATGTCGAGGGGTGGAAGCTCCTTTGTCAGACCCCCGGGATAACGGCGAGCACAGCGTTCATTTGATTCATCTTTTTTTCACATCGGCTGTGAGATGGGCACGCAGCAATGGTGATGCGTGGAAAAAAACACCTAGTCTTCTCAGATACACCTGCCTCAGCCACGCATCCATACGGAGCCACCCAGCCTTATACGCGCGTCAACCATTGACTTTGCATGTAAACTCGCTGCTTCTGCTGCAATTGCTGGGTCCGGTTCACACCGATGTCGAGCGGTTGAACAGCGAGCACAGGGTTAATTTGTTTCCCCATGTTTTTCACATCAGCTGTGAGATGGGCACGCATGGAGTTACATATTAACAGCAATTGTGAGGGGTGGAAAAAAAAAACACCTGGTCTCCTTACATTCAGCCACTCTTTCATCATCTCCTCAATGAGGTGGTCTCAAAAGTCGCAGTTACAACACACATAGGGCGCACCGCACCATAGGGCGCACCGCACATTTTGAGGGGAAAAAAAGACGTTTAAGTGCGCCTTATAGTCGTGAAAATACGGTACATTCATTCTACACAGAGTTATATATTTCAAGAGCTTGTTGATATTTATTTGAATGATTCTAGCTTCCAGAAAAAAAACTAAATCTAATAAAATCAGAGATATCTAGAGTACCCTAATTTAATATTAGGTAGCGCTAATTTAATATTCTTTATTATAGTAAAAGTAGAAAGTAGTCGTCCAGGAAATTGCTCTAGTGGGAATAAAAAAGCATTTGGTAAAATAGCTGCTAAAGTTCTGAGGAACTGTTGGTTCATTATTATTATCTGATTAAATTATAAATATCCAGACATATATGGATCAGGTACAATTAATTATATTTTAAAGTATGAAATAAAAAGAAACCCCACCCAAAAATAACATGATTGATTAAAAATAAGATTTGTTTTTCAGAAGAAACTATTTATAGCATATTTTTTTCAACATAAACCTATACATAACCATGTTTAGTTGGTTAAGTATATATTTCAGGAAAGGATAAAGAAATTCTAGCTAAAATATCTACTGTTTATTGTATTTTTAACTGGATATTTGAATAGCTCAAGTAGCCAGAAATGTTACTCCAGTTAGAGTAACGATACTCTCACAAAAAAACATAATTTAAGAAGTAAAAACTTACAAATACTTCTAAAAGTATGTTCTTTTCTAAAGGTTCCTCAAGTAAATGTAACTAGTTACTACAAACCTGCCTTTTAGCAATAAAAACACTATAGATTCAGTGAATCTCCTCCAAACCTTTGACTGGGCTGCATTTCTCACTGTTGATTCGGCCCCTTTTCCCGCCACACCTTTTTCCTTCCACTTAACTTTTTATTAGCTCACATTGTTAGCCACCTTTAGCAAGGACCTAACGGAGCTGGAGGGAGCCAGTGTCGAAAAGCTGGACATCTTCCAGGTCAGCTGTTTTCCACATGCTGTAAATTTCTTAACATTATGTAATTTCTTGAAATTAAGTGTAATTTCCCTTGTTTTTGAGCAGGTAGGAATATCTGCAAATGGAACAAGACAGGTTATGTGTAAAATAAAAACATACAAACTTTTTTTTTTCTGATTTTAGGCACATAATAAATCTAGTTATCTTGAATGCAAAGCTACACTGGAAAAAAAATCTAAATCTAGACAAGTAATTTTTCTTAAAATAAGTGCAGTTGTTCTCCGATTGAGGAGGCCAAATTTACAATTGTCAATGGAAATAGAGAATTTACATTTAAAGTGAGAAAATGCAATTGCATTGTCTTATTTCAAGTGCATTTTATCTAATTATCTTATTTTAAGAGTAAAAATATTAATTGCATTGGCCATTTACCTACTCAAATTAAGGGTATATACACTTAATTTATGAATTTTTTTTTATTTTTCAGTTTACGTATTCCTTAGGCAGATCACATTATTTAACTTCTCAGATTAAAGGAAATTTTAATTATTTTAACATCAGTTTTTGCAATGAAGCTGTCAGT